TGTGACTGAATGGGAAAGGAATATGCTTCATTTATTACATTTACATATTTTATGTTAAGTTTATAATCATTTCTATGTCGGAAAAGTATTTATCACCATTGGTTATACGAAACTCTTGCTTTTCCAATAACACATAAAATCCCTGACGAATATATTTTATTGTTTGGCGAATAATATCCGGTAGTATCACTGTTATGTGAGACAATGCCGGAAATGTGACGCCGTCCTCCTATGTCATTAAAATGGCTGACAAGGCAACAGCTCACGGACTTGAAGTAAAATGATTTGTAAAGCAATTATATCACAGGCAGTAAATGTTTTCCCTTGTTTTATAGTGAGAATGTGCTCTTAAAGTAACAATATGATCCAGTAATGTGACAATTCCGTGAATAATTATTACAGAATAATGTAAGAATAAAGAACGCTAAAATCCCTTTTTGTACATTTTAGATTTGTTTAATTGCTTTGCTGGGTTCAATTCAGAACAGTCAGTCTCCATATTATCTAATTATGTCTGAAATAGACAAAAATAACGATTGTCTCTGAATATAAAACGTCAACGCCAGACAATAACCAGTCTCGATTATCCGACGGAACAGACTCAACTTGCAATAAAAGGCAAACTAGCGGTGAAAGTTACAAGAAAGGATCACTGGACATCTGGATCTCTGTTACCTTATTCCTATTCTGGCACATCGTACATTCACACATACATTTAATGTCAATGACCTTTATCATTTATCGTTTTCGTATACGTAATGTTGATACACTAGTAGTAATACTTTCCAACCCGAATAGGAAGTAACTCACTCATTTTATGTGTGCATTACATAGACACCAAAGGATATTTGCAAAGTAAGAGCTGTTGTTCCCACTGGAGAACCATTTAAGCTCTAGTGTACACTTTATCGGCACACTATTCAAATATACTAAACTGATATGACTGTCTACGACATTGAATCTAGATGCAGGGCACTGACTGGAGCAGAGACTATCATTATTTAATGGCCTATCAAAGTATTAACATATTTATGCTATATTTTATTATAGAGACAACGAGACGTTAGCAGAGATAGAAATATCTTTAATGATATTTTTTCATTCAAATGTACATCAATGTTAAACATATATATTATACTGAAAATATCTGAATGTTGGTATTTGATGAAACTAGTGTCATAAATTTTACTATTTCTCCAACATGCCAAATTTAATAAACAACATTCAGGAAAGAACATTGTTCCGCTTAGGTGGTGGTGGAAGGGGGATTTAACGTCGCGTCCAAGGTTATTGCACTTATATCGCGACGTTGAAAGATGGTACTTGTTACCCTGCCTGGCGCTCGGCATTAAGGACGGACACACACACACACACACACACACACACACACACACACACACACACGTCAATATATAAGTGAAATAATCTTTGACGCGACGTTACACCCGATTTCACATCACCTCACCTATCCATGACATCCTAGACCCCTCATTACTGAGGGTTTGGTGAGGAATGTCTATTGCTAGCTTCCCTTTCAAGTCACTATTTCTCCTGGAGCGGCTTTGGAGTTCATACGTTGAGAACCCTAAGGACATGTTTCCACTTCAGCTCTCATATTAAGGCGTCACATGACGATAAGGGGTTGTTTGATCAGGGCCTTGACATCCATCTACTCCTCAAAGTTATGAATTGTTGCTATGGTAGTACTACACTCCAGGAAGACCAGGAATGGCACTAATATGATATAGCATGTGTATCCTTATGAGAAAGTTTTCGTCATTATGGTGAATGACTTGCACATTTTCTTGCTGTAGACAAAAAACACATTGCAGTGTACGTTCGCCATATGTACAAGTGAGCCTTTCCATACAGTTCAGACTGTGTATACTGCAAGGCACAAGAAGGTTTCTCTTCAAAACTGGATTTAACCAAAACATTACAAACACTACCAAAAAGTTACCAGGCTAAAAACACTCGCCTTAAAAAGGTAAGGTCCAAAACGCCATTATGATACCCGTATCAAATACATCACCATCGAATAACCGTTTCTTGTTTGTTTCATTTCAGTCACCACCTCACATATTGGTGTGCACGTTCCTTTACCCGGCAGTATATATCCTTAAGGGAAGAGTAGAGTAACCTTGTGGTTGGAAAATCACGGCATAGTGCCGGATTAAACTCTCTGCATTGGTAAAGTGTTGCTAAAACGGCGTAAAAGCTTATGGTAATTATCCATCCGCCAAACAAGTCCTTTTTAATGAAAATTTCAAATCTGTTTGGGAACACCAAATCGTAACACATGATTTATGTATTCGATAATATACAAATGTAAAACAGTATATATTGCTGACCATTATGGTACAATGTACTGTATGAGGCGATGAACTATGAGATGAGGTTCATTTATCCGTCCTATCATTCCTTTCTTTGTTTCATTTGAAATCCCAGCCTTTTGAAAATCACAGTGGAAACAAATAATCATAGCTGCAATTTAAATTATGACTGGTCACATTTCTCATTAATATCCATTTTGCATTTATTTTGCAACACAATTACCATGAACTAGATTTGCTCCAATATAATAACGCCGGAATTGTGAGTGGTCTCCCTCAGTATAAACATCACTTTATTCTGACAAATTATTTCTTTACAGTTTGGCGTTTTTTTAACTTTACGGCCGTTTCCATGCATTTAAATTGAATTATTGGTTCAGGTTATCTGTCACACTTAAACCAGATAGTGGAATCAGAATGGGTGCTCGACGCAGAGGATTTAATTAAGTGAAAGCTGTATTTTGTGTAACAAGGTTGTTGAAACCTTCTTGTCAAGAGCGCAGAATTTAGTAGAAACAACAGCTACACTATTTAACCTCGTATGCATCAGTAAGATCATTCACCACTGTCTCCTTCTATTGGAGAAAGTTCATTTGTCATCAGGTTTGCAATAGGATTCAAGATCGTTAGTACCCCACATGCCCCACCACTACTTAATCAATTGCCGCAGTGCAACACGCATTTTATGCTTCCTCTGGAGAATTCACAGCAACCGACACCAATTAACATTGCCCTGGTGTTAAAAACCGTTCAAAAGAATAGACATATTTTCCAAATCAAATTATAGTTCAGACTTTCTGAGGATGTTTAGTTAGAAAGCGCATCGTGTGCTCGAGTTACGAGGAATCTGTGTCCCGGGAAAGCGACAGTGTAGCAATCCCCTGGGAAATCAAGATATACATGCAGTCCACTGCCCTGTCTCATCGCAGGATTAAATTCCACTTCAATTATCCATAACATTTATCTTTCGACAAAATTGAAAGAAAGCGCAAAGTCTGTATAAATAAGTACTGATACCTAGGCCATTTTAATTTGTCGTAATTGTTGATGATGCTGTCACCATCTTACATAGACTCAAATGGGTAATTTAATCCCAGGCCAAATATGCTGTACTTCAAACATGAACTCTTCACTAAATGCCAGTGTCTATATTATTATGTCGTCATATTTCGTCCGGTTACTTGTAATGCACGTAAAAAGTCATTGATGACATTTTGTTTTCAGCTCCTTAAAAACAGTATCTCTCTCGAAACACTTATGTTTCTGTACTAACACTTTTTTCTGAAATGCTCTATACAAAGAATATATTCCAGCCTAACCCATATGTACTCTGCATAATAAGGTCTCATAAGGGATAACTTAATTTCCCTATGGACATATACAGCATTAAAAAACGTCGCATGACCTATTCATGTATTATATATGGTACTGTTGCTCTGTAAGTAAATCTTAGGTCAGTGTGTCCACGTTATAAAAGGCTCTACTTAGTGGTGCCTCTTGACCCGTATTCGTTGTCTAGTGGAATGGTCAATAGCACTGCCGTTCACTGTCAGGATGTAAGCTAGATTCCTGCGTCGCAGAACTGCTTTGTCAATAAGACATTTGATGAGCCCAAGGGAATATTTAACACAATCAATGAAGTACATCTACATGATTGAACGAAGGCCCACTGCTTGTGCAGGTCGACAACAGTTACCTCCCTTTTTAAGAAATGTAGTATATGCATAAGAACTTAGTGCAGGTGAAGAGCAGATGATGTCAAACTTATCCAAAATGTATGAAGCAGATGTTCTTTGTTTCTGTGTAACGTCAGCCAGTGTACAAAACTGGTATCACACGTGGCATGCTTCATGCCTTGATAGCGGAGTATGATTTAGAGAGGAACATGCGTTGAAGGGTAGATATGGCTGGTGATAAATGTTCAGGACATAATTATAATATAACTCTTCCATCATATGTGGCATTTCTGTCTTCGAACTCCCAAAATGCTTTTGCTGAATCACCGCAAGGTATTCGTCTTTTTGTACACAAACCATCTCCTTAGTATCAGTATAACATATATGTCCATATTTGACTGTTATCAACAGAATTGTGTGTTTGTGACAAGAGGAACAGTGCTTGACCATACAGGAGGAATAATCAATCTACATTGTTGAGAGGTTCCCAGCAGTGGCATCTGGGCTAGCTGGGCGAACACCTGATATCATCAACACTATTTGATAGTGATCCATAACCACATGCTTTCCTCTCGGCCTTTCACTGCTTAAATGTTTTCTTTGATAGTATTGCACACATAATGTCGTAACGATTATATGGAAATGACTACTGGAACACAACCTTCGAAGTGAGGAAGGTGGTCTCAAAAGTATTAGTGTAGGGTCTGTGAATTAAATGCCTGGGAATGACATATCAAATATGTACAATGAATAACAGATGGCTGTAATCACCATTGCAAATGTGAACACGTGCAATCAATTACCATATGTACAGTAACGATCAAGTTGATATTGCAAAACATTAAGTCACATTTTCCACAAAGGATAAGCATGAACGTTTGTCCTAAATCCCCTAATCTCAGTTCATAAAATAGTAAAATATTGTAGATATATATTCGACTGGACAAGGAGGTTATACTAAACATCAACCAAAAGTCAAAAATGAACTTACTGCTCTCTTGATTTGTCAGTAGATCCGTCCTGCCGATGACATATGATCACTACACGCCGACGATCAACAGGTATGACACAGGCATGTGGACGTGGGGGGACAGAATACCGACTTCACTATGTCCTGACTGGCATCTCTGGAATCTGGAGCAGCTGGAGCCAGCGTCATCCCCAAGTCTACCGACCTGCTTATCTCCACAGCAAAGATCCTATTATGCTAATTCGTTTCGTTGCGGGCTGAAATAAAAACAAACCCTTTTCTCTTATGACACACTTATGATGCGACTTCTGATAGACATCTGTCAGACAGGTATAACATACATGTACATTGATGGTGTAGATGTCCACTGACACGTGGTATATACTATGTATGTTTGTATGACACACTTATGATGCGACTTCTGATATACATCTGTCAGACATGTATAACATACATTGATGGTGTAGATGTCCACTGACACATGGTATATACTATGTATGTTTGTATGACACACTTATGATGCGACTTCTGATAGACATCTGTCAGACATGTATAACATACATGTACATTGATGGTGTAGATGTCCAATGACACATGGTATATACTATGTATGTTTGTATGCCTACATGTACAATACCCATTCATCATTTCAAAACAATGAATCACTAACGTGCAATCCCCTGTTCTTCTTGTATTTACGTTCTCAATGTACGTATTTCATTCAATCTCATTTGTTATTTCCGAATATCTGTGTCTCCTATTGTCTTCTATTTTCTTAAGATTAGATCTTGACCTTTATAGCTGGAAACCATTCTATCACCCTGTCAAATGGTATAATGTAGTGGCATTTTGCCATTGGGTAACGGCTGCATGATTCATAGACACCTGTCTCATACACAGTATTTATTCTTTTCAAACATCGTTGTAAGTTGGTAAATATTCAGACTGACTTCAATGGGGTATATTCCGCTAGGTTTGAGGAAAGGCCATTTCCCTGCGTTCCTTATTTGTAGGGACCAAACAACCGATCACACATCAGAGACACAATCGTTCTGTCCTCTTGTCAGGCTTCCCTACAAAAGAACATCCCTCAATGTCCCTGTAACTAGCGCTCCGACACCGTTGTGGAGGCAAGGGGGCGAGCCAAGATGTGAACACAATTTTTCCACATTTCAGTTCAAAGGGCCAAAATCAATACAGTGTATTCCAACTACTGTATCGCTAATGTGCAGTACAAATAGTTTGTCAGTAGGGCTTCGTCATGTCAGCAGTCTGAGTTTAGCCATGCTTGTTATCACTTCAAAGTCGAATTTAAGTATGCCCAAGGTGACATCGTGTCTATTTGTTTTCATTTGTAGTTGTATTTTTTTAGAATTAAGGTGTGAAGATCAGATACCGAATTACTGAATAAAACATCGGTATGGTTATAAATGGTTCGGGGCATTATCTCTCGTGTTTATGAATGTATATTGTAAAGATTTAGTTAAAGGGGAGGAAGCACTTTGAACCATATAAACATATAGGTTTTATTGCCCGAGTTATCCATGACTTGTCTCGTGTGTACATGGCATATTTGTCCATAACGCAAATATAACCATTCATTCAATTTGCCATTTCGCAAATGATCATGGTTACCACAAATCATTCTGTCTGTTGGCGTCTCTCACAGGAAGCCACAGCGTCTAATACTGTCATCATGTTCCGTCTTAGTAATATATTTTATCATTTGGTTAAGGATGTATACACATGGATAGAGAATGCAGTTGATAGTGTGAGTGAGTGATGTGGGTGTAACGCCGCTGTGAACAATCTTGCTATATATGTGGGAGGAAAGCCCGAAGCGATGCATATGCTGGTCTTAGACGTTTACCACTTTGGTGAAACCTACTAGCGTCGTATGGAGCATACAAACCTTGAATCATAATCTGCGCGAACCGGGATTCGAACCAACGACCATAGGTTTGTACTCAAGGGACGCAACTCTGCAACTCTGCGAATTGCTGCACCGTAGACGCCTGGGTCACCTGTTCCTCCTCACATAGAGTTGGAGGGCAAAATACTATATAGTGGACACAGGATACACGAAACAATTAGAACAAAATTGCAATTGCAACATATAAAATGTTGTTAATGGCGCCCGTAGGATAGATATAGGAATTCAGTATGATCTCGTATATTATACGTGCAGTTCTCACAGAGCATTAGGGGGCACGGGTGGCCCAGTCGCCTAAGGCGCCGCGATTCGCTATGCAGAGCTGCGTCCCTTGGGCACGCCAGAAACCTATGATTGTAGGTTCGAATCCCGGTTCGCCCCGATTATGTTTCTAGGTTTGTCAGCATCATACCCGTGCTCGTGGGTTTCGGCGAAGTGGTAAACGTCTGAGACCTGCATCACTTCGGGCTTTCCTCCCACATTAAGCTGACACGCCGTGATATAACTGGAATGATGTTAAAAGCGGCGTTAAACCCAACTCACTCACTCACTCACAGAGCATTATTATTTTTCTTAACGCTGATGAGTTCGTTTTAATTGTTCTATTGTTTTCATTGTTTTCCAAGAAGTCATAACAACGTGACCTCGTGGCCATATGAACGCATTGTCGTAAATAATTGAAGATGGCGTCATCCATTGTTCATAACGTTATACGGTTTTATGTGACGTCATTCCAACATATGAGATCAGGAAGCCTACAGTTTACTACATTTTTCATAGAAATATTCGTAATATAAAGAAAATACAACTCGCAATTCGGAATTACGGAGTATTTGTCCCTCGTGAATTGAATGTCGCCAAGGTTCACAGCCAAGAAAACTGATCCACTCGGGACAGCTGATAACGCAATGACACGTAGCTCGTATGTTATTCTCAAACAATTTACCTTACAACATGTAGAGAGTGCATGTAAAGGAAAACAGCCAAGGCCCTAAGGCCATTCATATGATTGCATCTGTCGACAGCTGAAAGAGACAAAACATGTGTCGGAGCAGCTCTGTCTGCAGCAGTGAATACGAAACAAAACTTCTGCTCTATTACATTTAGCGACGTTTCAAATTAGATTCTTACACCTTTATCAAGCTTGAAAGAGTAAACCAGAAGATATTATCCGTAAATAATAATAATAATAAGGGTGGGTTTGACTAGGCAGCGCTTCCTGGGAGAAGTCTGAGCTGCGTGAAGAGGGGACAAGGGCCCTGAGCTGACTGTGCCAACAATGGTGATGATTATGGTGATGATGATGATGATGATGATGATGATCATCATCATCATCATCATCGGAGGCACGGAATGGCGCAGCCGTCTACTGCGCCATTATTTGCTATTTGCGTGCCGGAAACGTATGATCGTGGATCCGAAAATAGGTTCATCCTTATTATGTTTCTTGGTTTGTCAGCACCATAAATATATCTGTGCTCGAGGGTTTCACCAAAGTGGTAAACGTCAACGACCTGCATGGATCACTTGCGGCTTTCATCTCAGATCACACGCCGTAAAATAACGAATATACCGCTTAACATTTCCATTACACCAACATTTTCTCACTAATTCACTGTAAGTTTACAATATGGTTTCAGCTTCATGTGTTCTCTAGATCCATGCAATGTTCAAGCAGAGGATTTCGCCTTTCTGCCTGTTTGTTAAAGCCTGCATGAAAAACCTGGAAACGGAAAACGTTTCGGTGTTATTCTCAATTAGCACTTATTACCCAACCGGGCATAGAGCCGCGGCTATAAACTGAACAGTCATTGCATAATGAATACAACTGCTTTTGCTTGCATGTGATGGACTCTTTAGGATACTATGGCTTCTGATTGATCAATAAACCGTGTGGGAAGCTATTGTGCGCCACAGCGTTCAATGTATTGGGACGTTTAACACCATTCCGACTTCAAATCGTTGGCGTCATGATGCGCGAAATGTCGGCAGAGAACGATGGCTTCAGGATTATGTCATCTACATGAACAAGGTGATGATGCAGGTACAGCTCCAATATATCTTTGGTAATAAAGGCAATCATACGATTATGGATACGTTCTCTAACGTCAATTACTGCATGACTCCTTCGCCAAAGCTAAGGACTTAATTCACAAAGGGCAGATAATCTGAAAGCCTTTGTGCATGCCGTCTTACAGATGTCAATGGACTGTTGCGCCACAAAATGGAGGAAATAAGTTTTATCGATTTGAGAAAACAACTGTAGCACACTAACCATTTATAATTTATATTGAGATATTTTCTTATAGATTTACAGTGTGTGGTAAAAATATTTAAAAAGATAAATACTGTTGATAATATAATTTTGTGTCGAAACATTGAACGACCACTGCATCGAGTTAATGATCAGCAACCCTTCAGAGTCCTTCGCTCAGATGAAGTCGGCTGGCCTGAAAAGTGAAACAGAACTTCAAGGCTTTCTGTTTGCTGCTCAAGACCAGTCACTTGCCACTCGAAACACGTCCATGTGTGATTTTGCATCAAAATGTAAATATGAAATGTGGATTATGCAACGAATTTAATGAGACTGTCCAACACATTGTCAGTGGATGCCCAGCTTTGGCACAAACACAGTATCCTAAGCCACATGATGGAGTGACTTGATCATTTTATTATCGTCTTCGCAATGCTTGTGGTTTTGACACAGAAGTCCATCCATGGTACGACCCGGAATATGTAGAGGGCGTCATGGACAATGATAAATACAAACTTCTTTGGAATAGGCCACTATACAACCTCAGACCTATCTAGACCAAGAAACCTGCTCTTGTTCTTTTTGATAAATCCAATGAAATCATTAATTATATTGAATTTTCTGTCCCTTTTGACACTAATGTGATTGACTAGATTCAGGAAAAACATGACGAATATGCGGACCTCGCTTTCGAAATGTCACGCTTGCACCCCAAGTACCAAGTTGTCCGGCTCCCCGCTGTTGTCGGTGCCTTACGTTTGGTACCTCCCAATCTGTTGACTGACATTGGGAGATACTCGGGTTTGCTAGCTACAAGGAATACAACCCTTCTGACAATCTGGGTAATGCAGAAGGCTGTAGTGTTGGAGAGTCTTCACATTCTCCGAAAAGTTCTAGGTGGGTCTGACTAGGCAGCGCTTCTTGGGAGAAGTCCCATTCGTTGTCTGGGCTGCGTGTAAGGGCCCTGAGCTGAAGATGAGCCTAACCAGCTTGACTGCATTTTTTATTGTGGGTGATCCTGGCACAGTCAG